GCGCCCGGCCCGCCGCCCAGTGCCCTGGAGCCATCGGCTCCCTGCGCGCCGGAGCCGTGGCCTGAGGGCGAAGAACCGGTGCGCTGTGATGCGTGCCCGGAGGGCGCCGCCCTGCCTGCCGCGCTCTCCTGCCTCTCCTGCCTCGCCTCCTTCTGCCCGGCGCACCTGGGCCCGCACGAGCGCAGCCCCGCGTTACGCGGACACCGCCTGGTGCCGCCGCTGCGCCGGCTGGAGGAGAGCCTGTGCCCGCGCCACCTGCGGCCCCTGGAGCGCTACTGCCGCGGGGAGCGCGTGTGCCTGTGCGAGGCCTGCGCCACCCAGGAACACCGGGGCCACGAGCTCGTGCCGCTGGAGCAGGAGCGCGCGCTCCAGGAGGTGGGGCGCGGGCGCTGCCGGCGGGCCAGGGAGGGTGACGGGCCAGGCGAACCCGCGGTGGTGGAGCCCCCACAGCCCCATCCTTTCTGGGATGCGTCTTAATTTCCTCTTCTAACTTGAGGGTCTTTGCTGTCCCTTCCAGCCCTGACAATGTCATTTGCTCGCTGTGGGACATTCCGTCGAAATGGGGTGAGGGTTGTGGGGTACCCAGTGAGAAAGCGAAAAGGACCCGAAGGGCGGGCCGATAGGGGTCTGAGGCAGGAGGGAGCTGGGGTCCTGGGCGACTGATATCCACAGCGGGACTGATGCTCAGGGCCACGCTCATGCCGGTCCCAGCTCTGATTTGCCCAAGGCTGAGGCTGCGAGTTTAGATGGGTGTGGCAGGCGACATCGGCACGGCGGCCCAGCACACAGACCGCTCTGTCCAGCCGTTCAGGGCCCGTGGTGAGAGCATGTGCAGTGGTTGGTCCCCGCTACCTCCGCCCCCACTTTCCTTTGGCTTCCAGCCTGGTCTTGGTGCCTCAGCCTTGGGATTTTCCGTCTCTCCTGCCTGGAGCGGTGACTCACAGGACCCAGGGGATTTGCTTAGAATTCCCATTTTCAGGCCCGAACTGGGGACACAGTCTTTGGGGATAGGGATACCCAGGACAGCTGAATGCCCTCTTGTGTGGCCCTCCCCCCATTCTCTGCCCCTTGCCCACGGAAGGAAGTTCTCAAGTGAACTGAGTGATGCTAAGGACTGTGGAAGGCCCTGTACTTGCCCACTAGTCAGGGGAAGCAGACAATGCACAGCCAGGCTCTCTCTCCCTGAGCATTTGGGAATGGCACCGGCCTGTGCTTGAGGCACCTCTGGTATATTGGGGGACATCGTGGCCATTCCCAGTCCCACCTATGCACAGATGCCACTCCTGGGTCACCCCTCTCCTGCCCCTTGGCGATGCCCGGGACTCCAGTGCAGGGCCATGGCCTCTGCCAGACCCTGTACTCACAAAGGGTGTCATCCACAGGCGGAGCAGCCCAAAGTCCTGAGTGCCGTGGAGGACCGCATGGATGAGCTGGGCGCTGGCATTGCACAGTCCCGACGCACGGTGGCCCTCATCAAGGTCAGACTCCACTCTCACCCTGTCCCCTCGTACAGCAGGCTCCCAGCGGGGTGAGCTTGCAGTGTGGACCAGTCCACGCCAAGGTAGCCTGTGCCCGGCCCTGCTGAGCGTCTCTTCTGGCCTGGCATAGACCCAGGGCAACTCTGGCTGGTGCCTCCGCCCCCCCCCCAAGAGGGCAGGGTGGGAAAGTGGGGCCTGGGAAGGACGGGGCCCAAACAGTGATGTCTTTTGCCCACGCCGCTGCCCCCACGTTGTCCTGTGCAGAGTGCGGCCGCGGCGGAGCGGGAGAGGGTGAGCCGGCTGTGTGCGGAGGCTGCAGTCGCCCTGCAGAGGTTCCAGACTGAGGTGCTTGGCTTCATTGAGGAGGGCGAGACCACCATGCTGGGCCGCTCACAGGGCGACCTGCAGCGGCGGGAGGAGCAGCGCAGCAGGC